AAATATTTCTTCTGAGTATTCGTGTGCTTGCGTCCCTTGGAGGCGTTCTAATTCTTTCCAATTGTAATCTTCATCAATAAAACACCCATTTTTAAAACTTTGTCTCAAAAGGTTTGTTCCTTACACAATCGTCTGAACATTTATTTTAATTGTTAGCGACAACCCGCGCGAAACACAGTCTAATGACTCTGAACCCACCTAATATAGATTATGGTCCTGTTTGAGCCACCTTTTTATAAAATGAAAATGAAATATATAGTCGTTATTGTGGCCCACACAAGAGATAGAAATTTTAAATTTAAATGTTAATATGATGGATAATGGTCATATTTTTCATTTTAATGAGATAAAAAGGTAGCCCAAACGGGGGCTAGAGCATTATTATTTTATACCGTTGGTTAAAATATGATAAATGACCATATTAATTGACCTGATGCTTGATAAAGATTAGATAAAATTAAGAACTTATTTCGTGTAGCTAAAAAATCCATTTTTTTAATAAATTTGATAAATATAGATTAAATATGTGATTGAAAAATTACAAATCCTATAAATAAATATGATTAACATTTACAGATTTCATGAAATATGTGATTAAAATTAATTGTTAATTTTGATTTAAATTAAGTTATATGTACATTATTGTTGACATTCTTCCTTACATATTAAAATTTGGACAGTGATGTGAAAGAATATTGTAAAAATTAATGACTATGATGGATACTATGTGTTCGGATATTAAACTTAGGGTAATTGGCGCAAAACGTCCCTACCTTTGACAGTTGTTGTAAAAAACGTCCCTACCTTTCATTTCTTGGCGCAGAACGTCCCTACCTTTACCATTTCTTGCGCAAAACATCATTTTCGTCCATTTTTGACAATTTTACCCTTCTACTAAAATAAAACAAAAACAAAAGAAAAGAAAAATACAGAATAAATTACAATCTTACTCCTAGACTTTTTCTAAAAATGCAAATGAGTCCAAAACTTATAAAAATATTAAAAA